GTGTTTGGATATAAGTGGCAGACTGGAGAGTATTTTGCTGTAATTAAAAGTACCAGCTTGCATTGTGTAGATGTAGGAACATGTTTCTTTCATGTTGTTTGTTTTTTCTTTCTCTTTAAAGAATGTTAACCCCTCAAATGACAAAAAGATTTAATTCTGTAGTCCTTCTTGTAGATCAAACTTTTCAGGTAAATATATATTTAAGGTAATAAAACCTATTTATTATTGAAGTTAGTATGGGATGCAATTTGATTTCAGAGCTTTGCACTGATTAACAATCCTTTTTCTTAATGTTATGCTGCAAGGGTATGTAGTTGGGGAGTATTTGAGAATTTGTGCTGTATCTTAATAATGTCACTTTGCATAAGCAAAAAGAAGTCATTGTGAATTTCAGTGCAGTTTATTATTATTCACCAGTCAGGTTTGGTATCTGATCATACTGCAAGCTGCACAGATACAGAAGGGTAGACCCTGCCCTTGAGAGCCTACAGCTTAAAACATAATGTTCCAGTATCCTATAGAAATCCTCGCTTCTGCTGTTGCAAGAATATAGCTTTCAATTGATTGACAAGACCATAAATTGGGGTAAAAACTGACAAGTAATTGACAGGCTGGGGTCAAATGGCCGAGGGATAAAAAAGGTCTGGCTAAGTGATACCTTAACCCCTTCTAGGACCACAACAAATATAGTTCCTATCCAGTTCCAAAAAATTCTGTAAAACCAAAGACATTTAAATAAAACCAACTAGGGATAATTTATTAGAATATCAAAAGCAGCCATTCAGCCATCTATAAATATTGGATATAGGCTGAAGAAAAAATTGGACTTTTCCTGCAGCTCAGCAGAAGCTGAGGAATAGACCCAGCAGAAGTCTCCAGGGGAGCAGAGATGCCTGGCCAGCAGACCTGTCCTCCCTAAATCCAAGGCTGTGTAAGCATTGTCTTTATTGGTATAAATAAATCATTGCTATTGAGCACCCTAATAAAGCTTTCAAGTTGTGACTGGAATGGCCTTGTTGATCTATTGATCTCACTCCTAACCACAAGTAAAACTCTTAGACGAACACCATGGCATGTATTCACTAGCTTTGTGTTACTTCTGGAAGCTGTATTATCGATGTTCACACCACTCAAGTCTATTGCTATATTTCTGGAGTACTACCAGGAAAGGAAAGGAATTCAGTAAAAACTTATTGGAGGACTGCAAACTACATTCATCTGTAAAATAAATAAATAAATAAATAAGAAAGAGAAAGAAAGAAAAAGTCTTCAATTAAAGTAAATTCTTAACAAAAAAATGTTTGATACTGTATAACCTGTCAATTCAAGTATGCATTTTCATTCTCTTTCCAACTTCCGCCTTTCATTTAGGAAAACAGTTACACACAACTTGGGATTTAAAAGATAAAACATTCTCTAAAGCTGAGTGCGCTGTGAAATTAGTGCTCCATCAAAAAATGAGCAGATGTCAAGGGAAACTTACTGATGTTCCCTTTTTAATTATGAACAGCTAATGGGAGCAGAAGACCCAACAGCACTCGGCTGCTACTATTTATATTATTAATTTGGAAACACTTGATCTTCAAAGGAGAATTTTGTTTATATAATACAATTTACTTGAAGCAAGACTTATGTACACTACATTCTCATATCACAGAAAATAATGCGTGGAGCATAAGTTGGAATCCTATTACGCATCCTTATTTAATCAAAAGTAAAAAATGGAATGAAGACCAAAGGCAAGAATAATAATTCATCTACACACTCTATTTTCTCTGTTTGACTAGAATTGAAATCTTTCAAGCTCAAAAGAGAAAAGGCCACCAAACTGCCTCCTAGTGATTGGTGTTCTGTTACCCTCTGTGGAGGAGGTACAATGGCCAAGAACTGCTTCCACCATCAAAAAATGACTAATTGTATGTGTCTTTGCTAAATTCAGATGCATTTAATTTGTTGTACAGTTTTTCAATCAAACACAATTGGAATTTTCAGGTATAGCACTAGTATAGATCTACTTAGGATCTTTAACTAAAACCTAATATTTACTATTTACTTATCAGATTTGTATGCTGTAAAAAAGGCTTAGGGCAATTTACAGTGAGAGACAGGAACAACGAATAAAAGCAAATGGGATAAAATATGGAACAAAAGGTTCTTAAACTATCCTGGATTGCTAAATGCCTGCCCATATAGGAATATCTTACAGTGTTTCTGTAAGACATCCAGGCCTGGGTTCTGTCACAGCTCAAGGGGAAAGAAGTTCCAAAGCTGAGGAATAACTATCAAATGACCTCTCAAGGTTTTTGCCAAGAGAACTTAGCACATTGATGCTACTAGTAGGAAGTTGTTCTTGTCTGATCTTAGGAATCGTGTTGGGGCATGGGAGAGTAGGTATCCAATTACATACATGATAGGGTCAAATCCTAAAGCACCTATTATTAATGTCTAGCTCTTGCCTGAGAAAAAATCTATACAACGGAAAGGAAAGCCCCAAGTGGAGGATTTGTCTATTGAATTATTCCTGACTCATTTAATGAAGAGGATGCAGTTCAGCCTGTGCATCCCGTGAAATTTGCAGGAGATATCCCTTTCCGAGGCAGCAGCGAGACAATGCCATACACCACACTGTGAAGAGTCAGCTATATACAAAGAGATTCCCCTGCAATCCCCTCTTTAATAATGCTGTGTCTTAATTTTACCTGATTTTTATTTGGATGAATGCCTCGCTGACGAAAGCCTAAAATTTCAGAAACAAGTGCATGCAGGCCAGAAATGAAATGCCCATTGCTGAATCCCAGTGCAAGGGTGATCAAGTCTTTCCAGAAACTTGTTTAAACAGTGAACTTATGGTGGCAGGCAGCAGTGCCCAGTGATAATGCAGGCCTAATAGAAGCCATGTAGCTGTGTTCAGGTGCTATCTTGGGCAGATTGATTAGTGCTGCTGATTAGCGCACCTACACTACTACTTGTATATGGCACTGCTTTAATTCAAGAGCAGCACATCAGGTTTGAGGGTGCCACTGCCTGGCTTGGTGAACATGCCATGTGGACAGAAAATAGGACTGCTAAGGACTCAGAAGCTTTTAGATAGGTGCACAAGGTGAAGTTCATATTTTAAAAAAGGAAATCATGTGGGGGTGTGGCTACACATAATAATTGTATGTCACTGGGAACCGAGTCACAATTGCCATGTGTCAGAAGTGCTCACATATACAGTGTCTTAGTATTCTAGATAGAGCTGTCACCCTTTAAGCATTTGAAGTACTGTGTCTCTGACATCAGGGGACAGAAATGAGCACCCAGTCCAACATGTCTCTCAGTGGGTGAGTGGGGGCAATGCTTGTACCCATGCTTTGGGGATCCCAGGGGATGGGTGATCTATGGCTGGGGGGTTCTTACTTTTCTGCTTTACCTACTCTCCTAATCTGAGGTTTACAATCTTCAGTAGACTGCAGTTGACCAAAGTCTCCAGTGTGTTTCCATGACTTGGGAGGAGCCAGTGGGTGAGAAGTATTTGGATCCATGTTTTTTGGGTTCCTGGGAGCTTGAAGGACCATGATGAAGGGCCACAGTTGAGTAGGAAGTGAAGACACCTGGTTGTTAGAAAGATAGCTGCCACTGAACAAGCAGTGCAAAGAAGTGCCAATGAAAGGGGAAAAATGGGAACAGTAGACTCCTAACTGTACCAGCCCAGCCAGTTGCAGCAGCATGGGTGGTGAGGAGTGAATGATACAGTGTGGGATGACTGGAGGACCTATCAGATGTGTGTCATGGAATACTTTATGTCCACATGTAATATTGAACAGGTGCTCTGTAACCTGGTTCAAATGAATACTTGATTTTCCAGGTAAACTTTTGAAATGTTCCAGTTGTCTTTAAAACAGCTTAAGGGGCTTGTACATCTGACCTTTTTGGTTTAAACTGCATTGTAAGCCATTTTAACAAAGGTCTGACCCAGTAGCAAAATTGTTTTGCATGGAGGCATTCCAGGGAGAGAGGAAATTATCTAATTTTTGACTCATCAGACTGAAAAACAGTCAAAAAGAACACAACTTCTCATTTCCTGTCTAAATCATATCAGTGAGTTCTTAAAAACAGGAATTAAATATGTCCATACTCTGTCTTTGGAAATAAAAATACATAAATACATACAGTGGTTTTTGTGTTATTTTCTTCAAGCATCCCATTAATTCCTGCAAATAAGGGGCTAATTATACTGGTTAGAACCCATGGATAGTGGAGACAGGCTGTGTTTATACTGCCTCAAGAACACATCAATCCTATAACATCTTTCTTGTTCCCCTGTTAAAACATTTTTAGGAAGGGACAAAGCCATTCATATCAAATTATATTAAACTGTCAGGCAAGGTTCGAGTAGATGTGATATCTTTTATTAGACCAACTGAGTAGTTGGAAAAAACTACTCGGTTTAATAAAAGATATCACATCTACTCAAAGAACCTTGCCAGCCTATGTCCTTAGGCCAACACAGCTACAACCAAAAAACTATTAAACTGTTATGATTTTATGATGCTAATCAAAATCCACAATGGAGTGAGGAAGAAGCCATTTCTTTTGTGGGCTAAATCAATGTTATAATTCCCAATTCTGCAGGGAAAAAGGTTGGCTTTTGCTATTAAGCTCTGTCATTGCAATGTCATTAGTTACTGATCATTGGTCCACATGATATTATATAATAGATTCCTGTGGAATCTAAATAGTGCTGAATTGAAGGTACTGGTTGTAAAGCAAATCACAAATACAATGTTTTAACTACTAAACATTGCTTGGACTGCAAATGTCTTCCATGTGAGGGGAAAAAAAAAAAAGCAAAGACAGGATGAAGGCTTTGTAGTAAGGAAAATGAATTAATGTGTGATGGCTTTTGAAGCTTTAATGTACACTCTTATCAAGAACAGTGATTCATTATATTGTTATATTGTTATTTCGCAGCTTAGTTTCACCTTTTCCTATGCCTCCTCTCCCTGATCCTTTTGCAGATAAACAAGCTGGAGGCTCGCCTGAGGCAGGAAGGTTGCATAGATGATAATGGGATTCAGCGGAAGGAAGATGAGCGGTGGATGAAGGAAGACTGCATTAGTTGTAGCTGTAAGGTATGTGTTGTTAAAAGTTCCCTGTACCATCTATTTTTCTTTTTTTCCTTCAGTACTATGCCAACCTGCAATTAAGAGTTTAGGAAAGAGTCTGCCTTGCAACTTTCTATGCTTTAGTGGTTATAGGCAATGCAAATCTGCTGCAGAAATGTTGTGGGGATTTATTATAATCAAAACCTAATAAAAGGCAAAAATATATCATTCAGATTCGTTCCTTTTTTTGTATTTTTGGAGAGTTACTTAAACGTGCAAAATGGGCAGAAAGTGCTACTAAATGGAAATGCTGATCTTGGGGATAGCATTTTTTGCCTCTTTTGTTCAAAACCATTCAGAAAGTGCAAGGTAGCTTTATTAGCATTCTCTTTTTTTCCAAGACGTTAATTCCCAAACAAATGTACCAATGAGTGACTTATTACCTTATTAAAGAGATTAGCATATTCTAATATGAACATCCTCTCTCTTTTCTTAACCAGATACAATTCTCATAGTTCTTTATGTAAGGCTGTTCCTGAAACATAAGTGGGTTTTGTCTACATAAATAGTTGCTTCCATTTGGCAGGTGTCTTACGTATGGTCCAGCAGCTACTCAACTTCTATTTCCTGTACATAGATGCCTTCCAGTTATTCTTCTCATTAATTACATCATTTCTGCCTGCCTCAGTAATCTCATAAAATAGTTAATGACATTGCAGATTTCTTCTTGACTCTATCATGCTTATTTAGCCCTGTTATTGATATATATTGAATGCTGTAATACAAATGCCTTCATGTGCCGAGGTATGTGGCCAAATTTACCCAAGGGATAGAGTCAAAAATGTTTGAGGACCCCTTATACCTCTCATTCTCGGTGGATTGAGTATAGTGGTACATAGGTCTTTTGCAGGTCCTCCTTTCTTTTTAATACTTGTTGTACTTAGTTGTCAAAAGTAATGAATCTCACAACAAAAAAAATCATGAATATTAGAATGTACTGCTAGCATTAAAATAGCTACTACACAATGAAACCCATTTGGTTATAATGATCTGCTTACAAGTAGACTGAGTGGAAATTCCATATTGTTTCAGTATGCTGTATGCAAACTGAATCTCTGTCTAGTGCAAGCTATTAAAAAAAAAAGGAAAAGTGGATTAGAAAAATTGGTGTGGTGCTGTTTGGCTCTGCAATTCTAATTAACCTCAGTAACCTTTCATATTGGTGTGTCAGCTATGAAAATTGTCGTTTATTCATGTGGATAAGTAGGCCATCTCATATTTTGCAGAGGCTTGCATGACAAAGGCCTCACTATTTTGTTTTCCTATCTTTTATTTGTACTGTATGTGATTTGTGCTAATATGTTAAATATTGCCTTTCAGAATGGCCAGATAATCTGCACTGTAGAGACATGTCCCTTAGTGGAGTGTTCAGCCCCTGCAAAGCTGGAAGGAAAATGTTGTCCAGTCTGCAGAGAAAGTGAAAATGCTATAGAATCACCAGCTGAACTTTAATCATTATTTCTCTGATAATGAGCATCCATTGGACCTGCCTACTGAGAAGATATAACTTTTAAATTCAAAGAATCTGCCAAACAGTTACAAGTACTGCTGACTATACCTGCACTAAAACATTTGATGTGAAAACACACACTGACTAAACAATTAAGTCACTCTAGGGTTTTCAGGATTCTGGGAACATTATCTTTCAACATGGCTGGGTATTGTGAGCAAGGCCACGAAAGAATATAGTGAAAGCCCTTTACAGTTTTACATGTCCTGTATTCGTGTATTAGAAGTTGTTACAAGTTCGAATCAGTAACTCAGCTTTAAAAATCATATATTATTCTTGACCCCCTCTGCCAAAAGGCAGGGAGAAAAGGGATCAAAAGTATGATATAGCTTTGAACCATGGTATTTAACCATTGACTGAAATACTTTTTTGAAATTCAAGTAAGTTTTAGGAGCAACATCTTTTTTTTTTTAATGCACTTTTCCAAGGAAAAGAATTCTAGGAAAGAAGTGCATGTGACCTGATGGTTTGTTTTGTTTTGTTTGTTTCTGGGGTAGGGATTTAAGAAAGGAGTTACACAATGAGAAACAGTTTGGTTTCGTATTATGAGACTTTCTTCTGATTCCACACTAGCCTTATGGAGCTTGAGCTTTATTAGGATCAAAATCAAAGAGCAGTGTGGCACAGTTCTTTAAGGTCACATGGTGCTGAGTTTGTGATCTGAAATTTGATGAAATGCACCTCAGGGAGCTTGCCATTTATGAACATGTATCCCAAGCCAGATAATGCGTGGATAAGTGTAACATAATTCATAGATGGTTTTACATATTCTTTTCTAAGCGACCTATTACCCCATGTTCGGCATGGAACTCCCACTGATGTAAGTGGTTGAAAGAGAGAATGAGAGAGAGGGTGCAAACAGACATTGCCCTTGTTGCAAGAAAACAGATGCCCCATCCCCTTGTTGCACTCCAAGTGCCCCAAAATGTTGCTGTGACTAATGGTACTCAGTTTGTAATGCCTTAAATGGGAGGATGTCTGTTTTCTTATTGTGCACCTGTAATAGTAAGGGCTTTGCTTAATGCTCATAGCAAGAGTCTTGTATGCTGACTCCATAGTAGGCCTTTGAAACAGCGTGTAGCTTTTTTGCTCTGTGAGCGTGACTGAACCATGAACCTAGATAGTAGAATGTTGTAATAAAGCAGAATGTGGTAAACACCAGGTGTGTTGGATCACGACTCATCCCCAAATTCTTAGCTTGAGATAACCGAATCCCTAGTTTGAGATAACGTTATTTAGTCCAGACTATATAAGATGTACATTCTTAAGTTACAGGGAGTTCCTCCCACTCTGGCAAGAAATCTTGCGCAGAGCCTGGCGCAGGCTATCACATCCCTGGGATCGGGACACTCCGGGGCCAGGGGAGCTATGCGGGGTGGTGACTGCTGCCTAGAGCCGATGTGAAGTGATTATCCTCTCTGCTCTGTCTTATTGCCTGCCTCTGCGAGTATCCTTGAATAAAGCTTTGCAAGGGTGAGAACAACCATGAGTATGTCCTTTGTTCAAGTGCAGGGAATCTCCTGAACACACTAGTTCATTCTAAGACAATATTGCTACGTGCTGTTTCAAAGGCCTACTATGGAGTCAGCATACAAGACTCTTGCTATGAGCATTAAGCAAAGCCCTTACTATTACAGCGCCATAGGAATTCTCCTGAAGAGGATTCCCACAGGACCCATATCTTGTTGCCATGTCCCGAGTTGGGATGAGGCACCTGGAGCCATTGTCTTGCAGGATGGGACCCCTGAATGCCCAGGACCAGAAGGGGCCTGACCCTGTAGGACAACAGTCCCTGTGACATCTGTAGACACCAGTAAAGTGGATTGGCTCTGTTGAGGCATATCCAGCATAGCTTATTCCACTCTTAAGTTGTCTGTTTATATCCACAAAAGATGAACTCAACTATTCATCATGTTCCCATGCAGATAGTCAGGAGTTTAGTAAGTTTATAAATAGGATTACATGATTACATTAGTTGCCTGTGGTAACAGGGAGCTAGATCAGGGATGCTCAGCCTCTGGCCCACAGGCCAGATCCAGCCCATGATGCTGTGTCTTCTGGATCACAGGGCTCCCCAAGGGTCTAGAAATTTGGCAGCAGGAGAGCAGTGGCATCATTCCCACATTGCCAAATTTCCAGACCCAGGAGGAGCCCCAGTCCCTGTACACTGGATTTGGTGTCTGATTCTAGTGCACAGGGCCAGGCGGGGGTGGCACCAGGCCTCAGGCCAAATTCCAGCATGAGGAGGGTGGAAGAGGGACTCAGAACCCAATCCTGATGCACATGGCAGCTGGGCTCTGTACCATCTATCTGATCCATGGCACCAAAAGGTTGAGTGGCACTGAATTAAATTATATGACCTAATAGGTCTCTTCCGGTCCTATTCTTTTGCTCCTATTAAAAAACAAGGTAACTTAATTTTAAAAATCTATTGCATAAAAAATGAGAGGTCAACTTTTCAAATGTGTGCCCTGAGATGTGCCTCAAAAATGCATATGTGCCAAATGTGAATTTTCATGTAAATTAGCTGGTGTGGATGCAACAGTGGGAAGTAGATGTACATATTAACCAGTGTGGCTACAGTTTTACTGGCACTGGTTAGTGCCTGAATTTATTTTGGAAATTTTGTCTCAACGAGTTCAAAATTCCGAGAGAGAGCTGTCTGTACTGAATTTTGCCCTTTAAAATTAATGAACATCTGTGCTTCCCTTCTACTTTCATTCTGTTGTTATTGATTTTTTGTTTACTAACAAGAGGCCATCCCATAATGGTGTGCACAGAGTTTCTCATGCAGCTTTGATTATCATTAATGTCTATTACATGTATAAATGTCCACGCCTTTAAGCTAGAGTCACAAAATACATTTATAGATGATGAACTGAGAGAACCCAAAAATGAATAAGACTTCCAAAAATTCTGAAATGGGTGTTTCTTTTTACATTCATACACAGTTAGGGTGACAATATCGACAGTGAAATCAAAATACCAAGAAAAATGTCTAATGAAGAATTTACTTTATTCTGACTAATTCATAACTTTCTGTTGAAAACAATGTATAGAATATATTTTTTACTCCGTGTCATGCACAGGTAAGTACATGCGAAAATGTAAATTATCTTGGGGAAATCAGTAAGGACTGTAAAAATAATTTTAAAAGAGCATATGCCAACCTTAAATTATCAGGGTTTTATGCACATTTTAACTAATGTATTCCGTTTACCAACATATACACAGGTCACATTTATAGTTGTAGTTTCCAGCAATACTGTTAGAGTGTTTGAACAGAAAAACATGATGCACACCTCGCTCAAAATAATTTTCTGCTGGAACATTAAGTAATAATACAAGGCTGCTAAATAAAAGTTCACAGCTAAGTTAAATCCCTTCATAACAATGACATTTTCAACACTACCTTTCACTATAGCTTTCAGAAATCTTAATTCCTGACTCCTGAAAAGTAGGAGCAATGAAGTTTATTTTAATAAGCTCATCTTACTAAGAGCAGCTTGATTATTGTGGCTGGTTTTGTAATTTACTCCAGAAGTATTGTTAGGTTTACAGAAGACATCTTTCATAATTAATCATAAGAAGCCTTGATTGAGGGGAAGTGATAGAACCAGCACCAGACCTATGTACAACATAAGCCCTGTTTAGTGGGATATAAATGGTGTACATGTTTGGGCTTCCTCTGTCTGTTCCTTGCTCTCTCTGGTATATCGCTTACTTTTAAAATATACTTCCTCAAAATACGTTAGCTCTCCATATGATGCCATAAATGCTGACAATGCCAGAAAAGTTAAACTGGATAATTTAATTTTTTTTTAAGTTGCATAGCTATAAAACTAATAGAAATTAAATGTAAATTCTTGCTTATATAGGAGGGTAACATAGTCAGTATTTTTTATGTACATTGATGTGTGTTCCCCTTGGAAGCTTTGACAAGAATTACCATCTTATAATTTGGTTAATAAACTGAGTACTGCACAAACACGATGCAAAAGCAAAAATAAGCATGCTCACACTTAGATTATGTATAATAAAAGAAGCACCGTATCAGTACATTGAAAGCTGCCTTGAAAATGTTGTAGACTACTGTGCAACACAATTCCTCTTTAGATTACAATCTTTGCTAACATTAATATAATATATTATATTGGTATAAAATTGATACATTGAAGTCAAGATTAAATATTCAGATCGATTTCCAATGTGCTGTTGTCTTAAAAAATATTCTTAAGACTCAGAAGTTCTATATTCTCAAAACCCTGGAAAATATAATAGTAAACTTTAGCTATAAAGAAATGGTTTTTATCCTGAAAATTACTCTCAGAGATCAAACATATTTCTTGTATTGCTCGCACTCGTTGGAAGTTTTAATTGATTGATTGATTGATTAACTCTCCTTACTGAAAGCCATATACTGAGTTATGATTCCTGAACTTTTAGGACCATTTTAACGTTAGTTACAAGCTCTATAAACAGTATTAATAAAATTCAAGTATGACATATTTGTACCTCATAAGCAAACACAACAGGAATGTTTTAAAGTATATATGGTGCTAAATGTTATGCCCAGAATATGACTTCATAGAGTGTATTTTACCTATATGAATTCATTTTTTAAGCTGTTTACTTTAGTTTTATGCATTCAAGCTGTTGCAAGTATGTTAAGACTTCCAAATCCATGTTTTGATATGACTATAGCATGTATATGGAGCTTGGAATAAGAGAACATCAAGAAGTTGCAAGTTCAGGTTTGCATTGTCTGCATATTTTTTTTTTTTTTTTTTTTTGGAAATGCTGCAATCTAAGGCCTAATTTAGATTGTTGTGGTATCAAAAGGAATCTGTAATAAGCCTAATTCAAATCTCACATAGGCATAATTAAAAGTAGATCTGTTGAAAGCTCACTGGGATGAGAAGAAATTCCAGATTAGTGACTTCAAGGGAAATTGGAAGAAGGCAGTAGTTGAGAAGGAAGTGATTTCTGTGCTCCTTCTAGGGCAGAGAAATATCCAATCATTTAAAATGGCAAAATCAATTTGGTTTTTAATCCTACCAGTGTGGAGAGCTTTAGTTATTCTGACCAATTTATCTATCTCACATTTGAGTTTCTTAATTAAGATAACTTGACTCATGACTGATGACAGGAAAAACATTTGAGTCTGATATTCTGGATTCACAGTGGGTATGCAAAGTGTTATTGGCAAGGAGACTCCAATCCCATGTTTTGGTGAATATCAAAGCAAAATTGACTCAAGGCTTGACTACCACTCAGATGCATTACTAGAGTATTCTTGTGTTTTTATTGCAAACACTGCACTGAAAGCAGGTGCTATTTGACACTGGGCAACATTTTTTTCCTGTATATTGTGATCACTTAAAAATGCTTATTCTAAATGTTCTATGCAATAAAAAATAGTA